ACTTCTAGAGGTCAAAATCTACAACTAAACATCTTTGGCTAATTTTCGAGTGATATTTTTGCAGAAATTAAGCTTTTGGGAAAGTTGCCTAAAAATTCACGAAAAATTCTGGTATATAGATCTCGACGTGCTGATTCGAAAATTATAGCATGTTTATGATTTGGGAGCAAGATTTTCGAAAAATTCAGTTGGAAAGTGAAATTTTTTCAAAATTCTAAAAATTGCCATTTTTCAAATGGCAATTCTCGAAAACTGGCAAGAGCTATCGAAGAAATGAGATCGAAAGTAACTTCTAGAGTTCAAAATCCACAAGAAAACGTCTTTTGGTGATTTTCTTTACAATTTAATTGAAAAACAGATTTTTGAAAATTGCGCAAAAATTCTTAAAAAAATTCTGGGAACGATATTTTTACTAGATGATTTGAAAAACAAGATGTTGACGGTCTTAGACCAAGATTTTTGATATATTCTTCAAAATTGGTGTGAAAATGATTTTTTGTTAAATTCTGGAAAAGTGTTATTTTTCATTCAATCGATTCTGGAAAAATTGTTGGAATTTTCGAAGAAATGAAATTGAAAATAATTTGTAAAGCTGGAAATCTATAACCAAATGTCTTTATGTAATTTTGGAATGGTTGTCGAAAAACGGTAACAAATTTCATAACTTAATAATCGAAAAAATAGGTTTTTTAAAAATTGCTTAAAATTCTCAAAAAATTCGTGAAAATATGTTTCGGCGAGCTGATTCGAAAAACTTAATGTTTTGCAATTTTCTTAATTGTGTGGAAAATTGTCGTTTTTCATTCAATCGATTCTGAAAAAAATATTGGAATTTTTACTTGAAAAACAGATTTTTGGAAAATTGATCTTTTGAAAAAGTTGTTAAAAATTCACAAAAAATTCCTATATATAGATGCCGACATTCTGATTAGGAAAATATAGCGTGTTTATGGTCCAGGAGCAAGATTTTCAAAATATTCACTTGGAAAATATTTTTTTTTCGACATTTTCAAATGGCAACTCTCGAAAAATGACAAGAGTTTTTGAAGAAATGAAGCTGAAAAATCGAAGAGGTCGAAATTTACAAGAAATTGTATTTAGCTCGTTTTCCAAATTGCTTAAAAAATTGTCAAAATTTTTATAAAGAGGGCAATCATAGTAAAAAATTAAGCTTTAGGAAACGCAGTCTAAAAATTTACAACAAATTCTGGTAAATAGAATTCGACGTGCTGATTCGAAAAATATAGCATGTTTACGGTCTAGGAGCCAGATTTTCAAAATATTCACGTGGAAAATCAAATTTTTTCAAAATTTTAAAAACTGTCATATTTCAATTGAAGATTCTCGTAAAATGATGACAGTTATAGAAGAAATAAAGCCGAAAGTAACTTCTAAAGGTCAAAATAAAAAAAAAATGTCTTTAGTTAATTTTCGAACATGGTTGAAAAATGGTCAAAATTTTTATTAAAAAATTGAGTTTTTGGAAAAGTTGTTTAAAAAATCACAAAAAATTCCGGTATATAGATCTCGACCTGCTGACTCAAAAAATATAGCGTGTTTATGGGCCAGCAGCAAGATTTTGAAAATATTCACTTGAAAACTCAAATTTTTTCAAAATTTTAAAAATGTCCATATTATCTCAATTGGAGATTCTCGAAAAATGACAAAGTTATGCAAGAAATGAGGCCGAAAGTAACTTCTAGAGGTCGAAACCAACAAGAAAATGTCTGGCTAATTTTCGAAAATGGCCAAAATCTTTATAATGAGTTAGCATTGAAAATTTGAGCTTTTGGAAAATTTGTTCTTGTCCTTTTGGAAAAGTTATCTAAAAATTCACAACAAAATCTGGTATATAGACGTGGACGTATTGATTCGAAAAGTATAGCAAAATTTTCACAACATTCACTGGAAAAGTCAAATTTTTTCAAAATTTTAAAAATCGCCATATTTCAATTGGAGATTCTCGAAAAATGACAACAGTTATGGAAGAAATGAGGCAGAAATTAACTGCTAAAGGTCGAAATCAATATTTTTAACTAATTTTCGAAAATGGTCGATAAATGGTCACAATTTGTACAAGTAATCAAAAATTGACATTTTGGAGAAGTTATTTAAAAAAATTACAAAAAATTCGACATCCTGATTCGAAAAATGTAGCTTATTTATGGTTCAGGAACAAGATTTTCGAAATATTCGCTTTAAAAATAAAATTTTTCAAAATTCTAAAAATTTCAATATTTCAATTATCAATTCTCCAAAAATGACAAAACTTATTGAAGAAGAGAGGCCGAAATCTAGAGGTCGAAATTTACAAGAAATGTCTTTGAATAATTTTCGAAAATGGTCAAATGGATTGATTATTTTTCGAGGAAATGGAGCCAAAAATAACTTTCACAATTTGAAATCTACAAGGAAATGTCTTAAGTAATATTCTAAGGGTGCTTGAAAAACCGTAAAAAAATTCATAATAATCTACTTGGAAAATGAAATTATTAAAAAATTTGGCTAAAAATTCTGGGAAATAAGTACATTTATTTATTTTGACCAGCTGATTCGAAAATTCGATTTGAAGATAAAATTTCTAAATATCTCGAAAATCGTCGTTTTTTTTCGAAATATTCGCTTTAAAAATCAAATTTTTCAGAATTCTAAAAATTTCAATATTTCAATTATCAAGTCTCCAAAAATGACAAAACTTATTGAAGAAGTGAGACCGAAATCTAGAGGTCGAAATTTACAAAAAATGTCTGAATAATTTTCGAAAATGGTCAAATGGATTGATCATTTTTCGAGGAAATGGAGCCGAAAATAACTTTCACAATTTGAAATCTACAAGGAAATGTCTTAAGTAATATTCTAAGGGTGCTTGAAAAACCGTAAAAAAATTCATAATCTACTCGAAAAATGAAATTTTTAAAAAATTTGGCTAAAAATTCTGGGAAATAAGTACATTTATTTATTTTGACCAGCTGATTCGAAAATTCGATTTGAAGATAAAATTTCTAAATATCTCGAAAATCGTCGTTTTTTTTCGAAATATTCGCTTTAAAAATCAAATTTTTCGGAATTGTAAAAATTTCAATATTTCAATTATCAAGTCTCCAAATATGACAAAACTTATTGAAGAAGTGAGGCCAAAATCTTGAGGTCGAAATTTACAAGAAATGTCTTTAAATAATTTTCGAAAATGGTCAAATGGATTGATTATTTTTCGAGGAAATGGAGCCGAAAATAACTTTCACAATTTGAAATCTACTAGGAAATGTCTTAAGTAATATTCTAAGGGTGCTTGAAAAACCGTAAAAAAATTCATAATCTACTTGGAAAATGAAATTATTAAAAAATTTGGCTAAAAATTCTGGAAAATAAGTACATTTATTTATTTTGACTAGCTGATTCGAAAATTCGATTTGAAGATAAAATTTCTAAATATCTCGAAAATCGTCGTTTTTTTTCGAAATATTCGCTTTAAAAATCAAATTTTTCGGAATTCTAAAAATTTCAATATTTCAATTATCAAGTCTCCAAAAATGACAAAACTTATTGAAGAAGAGAGGCCGAAATCTAGAGGTCGAAATTTACAAGAAATGTCTTTGAATAATTTTCGAAAATGGATTGATTATTTTTCGAGGAAATGGAGCCGAAAATAACTTTCACAATTTGAAATCTACAAGGAAATGTCTTAAGTAATCTTCTAAGGGTGCTTGAAAAACCGTAAAAAAATTCATAATCTACTCGAAAAATGAAATTTTTAAAAAATTTGGCTAAAAATTCTGGGAAATAAGTACATTTATTTATTTTGACCAGATGATTCGAAAATTCGATTTGAAGATAAAATTTCTAAATATCTCGAAAATCGTCGTTTTTTTTCGAAATATTCGCTTTAAAAATCAAATTTTTCAGAATTCTAAAAATTTAAATATTTCAATTATCAAGTCTCCAAATATGACAAAACTTATTGAAGAAGTGAGGCCAAAATCTTGAGGTCGAAATTTACAAGAAATGTCTTTGAATAATTTTCGAAAATGGTCAAATGGATTGATTATTTTTCGAGGAAATGGAACCGAAAATAACTTTCACAATTTGAAATCTACAAGGAAATGTCTTAAGCAATATTCTAAGGGTGCTTGAAAAACCGTAAAAAAATTCATAATCTACTCGGAAAATGAAATTATTAAAAAAGTTGGCTAAAAATTCTGGGAAATAAGTACATTTATTTATTTTGACCAGCTGATTCGAAAATTCGATTTGAAGATGAAATTTCTAAATATCTCGAAAATCGTCCTTCTTCATTTAATCGACTCTGAATAAAATGTTGGAATTTTCGAAGAAACGAAAGCGGAAAGAGCTTCTACAACTATAAATCTACAAGAAAATGTCTTTTGGTAAATTTCACATGGTGCTCAAAACAGTAAAAAAATTCATCACATTTCAATCGCTAATCAAGAAAAATTTTCTCACGAAAAGGTCAAAAATTTCATCAACGAAAAATCGAAAACCATTGCATGAATTTCACCGATTTTATAACATAATAGGGCTTATCATGAAAAAAAATGTGTTTTAAATTTATCTAAATTTATCTAAAATTTGTATTTGTTAAATAAAGTCCTAATGGAGATCAATATAAACAAATAAACCAAATTAAAAAATTAATTGATATTTGTTTTTTAAAATCTAATTTGATACGTACTTACTTCTACACCGCTGATATTGACAGCAATAATTTTTTGTCTGAATGTCGCTTTTAAACGCAATTTGTTTCCACCGATAATCACTTTTTCTTTGTACAATTTTCAATAATGTAAAATTATTTCATAAAAGAAAAACCTGTTTATTTGAAAATATCAAACATTTATGTTTTCTTTATTATTATTATTTTTCCTAGCATGTATATGTCGTTTCGTATCCACTCTTAATCCCACCAAACTCAGCGGGGTTCCTCCATCCCGACATTCGAACATTTCGTCACTCCACTCAACCCACCCCCTTGCAGCCCCTACCTCCGCACGCCTCCTTGAAGTCCGGGCAGCAGTCCCCCAGCTTCAGGCAGGCATGGTCGCAGTAGCACGGCTTGTCGCTCAGGTCCTCGATGATGGCGTTCAGCGGCGCCTTCTGCACAACACACGACGAATCCCGGCCCGGACAGCACAGCTTGGCCTCCCGGCAGCTGCCCCCGGAGACGGCTCCGGTCTGGCACGCCACGACGACGAGGCACACGAGCAGCGGCGCGAAACGCTCCATATCAACCGGAGTTTGGCATGCGAAGCCGCCGACGGACCGACCGGCAATGTGGAGGACCGCGCTCCGGAGGGCCTCCGGGCCGATGGGTGGGGGGAGCACGTGGTCGGAGGTGTGCGGCGAGGGTGCGGGAGCGTCTTCTCGGCACGGTTTCGCCAGGAAAAAAGTAATAATAATAAAGAGGGGGGAGGGGTGGGTTGGGGAATTATAACTTGCTTTGTTTTGCGGGAGATTGTGCAATTGGCAGGGGTGGGGTGGAAGGAGTGGGTTGAGATGGGTTTTGACATAGATAACAATTTTTGGTGATGAAGCTTTATTTTATGTATCGGGGGTGTAAACTAGCGAAATATGGGGTTGTGGAGTGCGGAAAAAGCTCATTATTTTGAAGGAATGTCGTTACACACACACGAAATTGGAGTTTGATGTGCCGTTTCTAGGAGACGACTATTTGGTCCATTTTGTTCGAGGAGTCAGTTACAGCTGCGAGATATCAGAACATGGGCCAGGAACTTATTGACCAGCTTGATCCTGGACAATTACGGAATGGAAAGTTCAGGCCACATCCGCCCACCTCGATGACCTAATTTGACACCAATTTTTCGTTTTGCAATTTTTCGTTTACGTAAAAATAATTATGTTTCATTAATTCGATTTTTCTATTTCTGATTTCTAAATTTTCGATATTTTATTTCTCAAATTTTCCATGATTCGAGGTTACAATTTTCCAATTTTACAAATTTTAGGTTTCCCTTTCGATTCGTTTTTTCTTCTTTCCAATTTGTCGTTTCATTAGTTATTTTACTTTTTTAAGTTTCACAATTTTTAGTTTTTCAATTCTTCAATTTTTCGTTTCTTCAATTCTTCGAATTTGCATTTTTTCGATTTTGCAATTTCTGGTTTTTTAAGTTTTTCGATTTTTAATTTTTAATTTTTTTCATTTCTTCAGATTTTCGATTAAATTTTTTATGTCGGTTTTTTCCTTCTTTATTTTTCAATTTTTCGGTTTTTCAATGTTCTGATTTTATGGTACATTGTTCAATGTGAAAATTTTCAGTTTCATGATTTTTCAATTTTTCGTTTCTTCAATTTTTGATTTGCAATTTTTCTAATTTTCATTTTAAATCCGTAATAATATTTATACTTTTTAAATTGTTCACTTTTTCAATTTTGCGATTTTAGAATTTTTTCATTTTTCAATTCGTGGATTTTAGAACTTTTACATTAATTCCATTTTTCTTTATTTACTGTTTTGACAATTCTATGTATAATTTTTCGATTTCAGTTTTTGGTTTTCCTTTAGATTCGTTTTTCCTTCTTTCCAATTTTTAACTTTCTCAATTATCAGTTTCTTCAGTTTTTCGATTCGCAATTTGTCGATTTTGCAATTTCCCGCTTTTTCAGTTTTTCATTTCTTCAAATTTACGATTTACAAATTTTCCGTTTCGATTTTTTATTTTCTTTATTTCTACAGCGTTTTAATTTTTCAATGATCCGATTCTATAATTTTTTTTTTCATTTCAATTTTTCAATTTCTCATTTTTTTAGTCTTTAATTTAACAAAACGACTCTCCGAGTTTCCTTTCTAAAATTTTTCAGTTTTACGATTTTCCAGCGTTTAGATTTTACAATTTTTCGATTTGCAATTTCACGAGTTTTCACTTTTTAAATTTTCAGTTTTTTGTTCCGGTTTTTTCTTTTCTTTACTTTTTCAATTTTTCGGTTTTTCAAATTTCTGATTTTATAATTCATCCTTTTTTCAACTTTCAGATTTTTTAATCTTTCTTTTTTAAATTTTAGATTTTCCAGATTTTCGTTTCTTCAATTTTTGGTTTGCAATTTTTCTAGTTTTTAAATTTTTAAATAATAAATACATAATAATAATTATAATTTTTTAATTGTTCACTTTTTGAATTTTACGATTTTAGAGTTTTTCGATTCTTCAATTTTTGATTTTTAAATTTTTAATATTTCCTTGTCGAAATTTTCTGTCGTTCAGTGTTACCATTTTTCGACTTTCCAATTTTGAGGATTTTATGTATGATTCGATTTCACGATTTTTTGTTTTTTTTCCATTCGTGTTTTTCCTTCTTTCCAATTTTTAAGTTTTTTCATTTTTAATTTTTCAAGGTATCAATTTTCCGTTTCTTCAGTTCTTCGATTCGTAATTTTTCGATTATCCACTTTTTCGATTTTGCAATGACTCGTTTTTTCAGTTATTCGATTTTTCCATGTTTTCCAATTTTTTATTTTTAATTTTTAGTTTTTCCAATTTTTTTTTACGTCTACAGTTTTTTATTTTTCAATTATCCAATTCTATAATTTTTTGGTATTTCGATTTCTCATTTTTTTTTATTTTTCAGTTTTACGAGTTACAAATCTTCGAGTTTCCATTTTAAAGTTTTTCAGTTTTTCGATTTCCCAAAAGTTTAAATTTTGCACTTTTTCGATTTGCAATTTTAGTTTCGGTTTTTTAATGTTCTGATTATTTTTTTTTCAATCTAGAATTTTTCATTTTTTCGATTTTTCAGTTTTAGATTTTTCAGTGTCTCTATTTTTCAATGTTTTCTTTCTTAAATTTTTAATTTGCAATTTTTCTAGTTTTGATTTTAAATAAATAATTCCACTTTTCAATTATTTATTTCTCGATATTTAATTTTTCAATTTTTCGATCTTTCAATTTTTCAGTTTGACGATTCTATAATTTTTCGATTTTACAATTTTTGTGTTTTTCAAATTTTTCGATTCGATTATTTTTTTCTTTTAAATTTTTTGATCAACTAATATTTTTCGATTTTTAATTCTTCAATTGTTAAATTTTGGTTTATTCAGTTCTTCGATTTTAAGATTTTCTATTTTCCACATTTTCCATTTTGCAATTTCTCGTTTCTTCAGTTTTTGGATTTTTCAATTTTTTCCGATTTTCAGTTTTTCGATTTTTCAACTGCTCGAACCAAAAAAATGGAAAAATTTCGAAATTGTAAAATTGAAAAATCAAAAATGAAAAAACGGAAAAGTATAAAATGAAAAATTGAAGAAAGGTGAAATATTGAAAATTAAAGAAATAAGAAAACCGGATAATTGGAAATCCAAAACTTGCAAAATTGAAAAAATTGGAAAATCGAAGAATCCAAAAATCAAAAATTGAAGAATTGAATGAATCGAAAAAAGCATTGAAAATTAAAATAAAAATCAAAAACTTGAACTTGAAAAACTGAGAAAATGAAAACCTGAGAAAAATTCGAAATCAGCAACTTGAATGAACTAGAGTTTTTCGATTTTTAATTTTTAGCTTTTTCAATTTTTGATTTTTCAGTTTTTCGATTAAATTTTTTCTTCCGGTTTTTTCTTTTTTTTATTTTTTCGGTTTTTCAATGTTGTGATTGTATCATTCTTTTTTCAATGTAAACATTTTCAGTTTCTGGATTTTTCAATTATTCGTTTCTTCAATTTTTGATTGCAATTTTTCTAGTTTTCGTTTTAAATACATAATAATAATTATAATTTTTAAAAGTTCACTTTTTCAGTTTTACGATTTTAGAATCATTTCATTTTTCAATTGTTGGGTTTAGAACTTTTTCGATATTTAGTTTTCGAAATTTTCTATCGTCCAAGTTTGTGTCTATATATAATTTTCCGATTTCACAATTTTCCGATTTTGCAATTTCTCGCCTTTCCAGTTTTTCGATTTGTCAATTTTTTCCGATTTTATTGGTTTTTCGATATTTAATTTTTAGATTTTTCAATTTTTGCATTTTTTAGTTTTTCATTTCTTCAAATTATCAGTTTGCAATTTTCGCTTCAGTTTTTTATTTTATTTATTTCTACATTTTTTTGATTTTCCAATAATCCGATTCTATATATTTTTTTCAATTCAGTTTTTCAATTTTCCATTTTTTTATTCTTCAGTTTTGCCATACATAATTCTTCAAGTTTTCATTTTAAAATTTTTCAGTTTTTCGAATTTCCAACGTTTAGGGCCGGTTGCATAAACGCAAATCAAATTTAATCTCTGATTAACTCCATAGTAACGATTGTTATTATCATAGTTACAATTGTTCTTAATCAGAGATTAAATTTGATTTGCGTTTATGCAACCGGCCCTTAGATTTTGCAATTTTTCACTTTGCGAGTTTTTAATTTTGATTTTTTTTTTCTTCAATATTTCCATTCAATTTTTTCTTCCAGTTTTTTCTCTTTACTTTTTCAATTTTTCGGTTTTTCAATGTTGATTTTATAATCATTTTTTTCGAATTTTCTCTCATTCAATGTTACAATTTTTCGACTTTACAATTTTGACGATCCTATGTATAATTTTTCGTTTTCACAATTTTTTGGTTTTCTTTCGATTCGTTTTTCCTTCTTTCCAATTTTTAAGTTTCGGATTTTTTTGGTTCTTCGATTATTAATTTTTAATTTTTTCAATTTTTCTATAATTCACTTTTTCATTTCTCCAAATTTGGGATTTCCAAATTTTCGTTTCGTTTTATTCTTCAGTTTCATTTTAAAAATTTTCAACGTTTAGATTTTGCAATTTTTGGATTTTTCAAGTTTACAATTTTCGGGTTTTCCAATTTTTGGATTCGATTTTTTCTTGATGGTTTCCAACTTTTTGATAATTAATTTTATCGATTTTTAGTTTTTCAAGGTTTCAATTTTTCCTGCCATTTTAAATTTTACGATTTTCCATTTTTTACATTTTGCAATTTCTCATTTCTTCAATTTTTCGATTTTTCAATTTTTGCATCTTTTCGTTTTTCGGTTTTTCAGTTTTTGATTTTTTAACTTCTGGAACAATTTCAAAATTGTAAAATTGAAAAGTCAAAACTGAAAAAACGTAAAAGTATAAAATGAAAACTTTGAAGAATCCACAAATCAAATACTGAAAATTTGAAGAATTGAATAAACGAAAATTAATAAAATCGAAAGAAGCATTAAAAACATAACGGAAATAAAATAATGAACATTATGATATAAAATCCAGAAATGAAACTAAAATATCGTAAAAATGAAAAATAAAAATCAAGAATTTGAGAAGTTAGGAAAACGAAAAATTGAAAAATCGAAAAATTGAGGAAACAGGAAACTGACAAATTTGGAAGTCGAAAA